GCGATTGTCCTGTTAGATCTTGGATCGCAGACTTCTCATCTCTTCAAGTGTTTTTATTTGTCAGTCATCTTATCATGAGGGATTTAACTCTTCTTTTTTCTCATGAATTGATACGCCATCGACTTGGCCTTCATCTGTTGAGTCGAGTTGAAACGAGAAGTATTTTCCCTGTTTCTTTTTCCCTGTCTTGTTGTCGAGTCGCTTCTCGTGCCTTTCTGGTCATTTTGTTGACCCTTATCTTTTTGAATCGAATCTCGGTCGTGTCTTCCAGTATCTATTGATTGTCGTTCTTTTCTTTTCTTTTTAGATTCCAACCTCGACCCCGTTTCTGATCCTGTCGCCGGTTCTCTTGCCCGTGAAATTGATGACTATTAGGGTTCAGACTCTATCCACCTAACCGATGTCGGCCCATGTTCACATCAAAACGTCGAGCCAGAGGGCTCTGTTAACTCCAATCCCTCATCCTTCGGTATCGATTGGGCTGTGTACAATCAGGCGTTGCTTTCGGGCATACTTTGTGAGGATCCTGAAGTTCTTCGAGCTCTAGAATCTTCTCGCCTCGACTTGATTCCTCGAGGTATTCTCTGCTAGGTTCTTCTAGTCATCCTCATATATAAGACAAGCCTTGTTCTTTTACTGATAATGACTCCCTTAATCGAGTCTATAACTGTAGCATATTCCGTGGCAAAGTTCTTAATATCGTTTTCTTATGCTCCTGCAGCCGAAATCGATGGCTTCAGAGAGTACAGTGGCCTTCCCTCTGATTGGGCTTTGGTTGCTACCACACCCGAAGACAACTTCCGTCACCCTCCTAAGGGTTGTTTTACTTTTCTTGTGGATCAAATAATGTCGGGCTTGCGTTTCCCGATTAAACCTGAGTTACTGTCGTTAAGTAACCTTTTCGATATACCAATAAATCAGTTCACCCCCAAATTCCATTCGAATAATGGTAGCTTTCATAGTTGTTACCCGCGTAGTTTTAGGTGATTTTCTACCCGAGTTTTTCCTTTACTGCTATGGGTATAGGTTTAGCAAAGACGCC